CGACTCAACTCAACTCATTCAGAATTCTAGATAAACAAAACGGAAATTCAGGAAAATGATTACGAATAAAATGTACATGCAAAAAAAATATATTATTTTTCTGATAGTAGAGTCTGAACAAGCTTATCAGCCATTACATATTTGGTTTCATTTATAATTAGATTTAAGATGTATGATGGGAAAATAAATCTAATCCAGGCTATTTTTTCTTTATCTATAGCCAGCCTATTCACATAAGAAGTAAGCTAATATATCTTATATTTTCTGAAATCTTTGCAAGCTTTAATAAAAACAATGCAGATGTATTATAAAAATAAAATCATGTGTACGTGAATAATTGTTCATGCTGATCACTTTTACTTATACGTACAAAAGGGTAGAATATGAATGGCAAACTTTATTATCAAAGCTAAAAAATTAAGTTTATTAATTGTTGCACCATTATAATTATTTATTAATAACAGTACTCACTAATTGTAAATAACAATGATTTTCTTGATATTGGTATTAAACTAAACTAATTCTCATTCCGCTAAAGAATTAATCAATGATGCCTGAAAAAATTTAAAAAAAAATAATAAAATTCTATAATATAGATATTAATGTTCTTTTTTGCAAAAAAAAATAACTTGATGTAAATATGCAAAACTTTATTAATGATTTTTCAGATACATAGCGAATTAGAAAATGCTAGAGAAGTGAATATAATGATTGAAATAAATGATGTTATCAAAGATGAAAGGAGTTTTCAGATCCTAAGCCATAAATAAGAATCACAGCATCAAGTTATTTTGCAATATTACCTTCACCAATACTTTCTCTAATACTATTACTACTGCTACTATTGTTACTACTATTAATATCAAAAAACTAACTGATTTTTTATTTTTCTCCTTTTCAATCTATTTGATAATTTTATCTATAGAAATTCTTCTTAGTGATTTTTGATGATAATAAAAACTAGCTAATGTACTAGTATTAAGTCTGATTTTGATTGATAAAATATTATACAATTATGTTGGTAAACAAGATTCTCTTTTCCTTTTATTATTAAAAAAAGTTGTAAATTTGACCTAGTATGTTTTATATTTATTTGTATATTTAAAATATTGTTTCATAGAAATGTGACTTGTGAAAGAGAATCGGTTTGATTTGACTAGAAAAAAAATAAGATGCAATTTAGCATAGATAAGTATATATACATAACATAATATTTTTTCTTTCTCTATAGCATATGATTTACCTTGAGATATTGTATTATTTCTCTATTCAGCTTCTGTATGTATTCTTTGAAGTTCATTGCTTAATATTAAGACTGTTCTTTTGTGATTATTGTTACCTGATTGCAGTAGATATTTGTGAAAAAAGAAGATAGCAATAGCAAAGATTATATAAATATTTGTGTTTCTCAAAAAAATGCCTTAAATCATATCCATTGTAAGGATATTACAGGTTATCATCTTGTAAATTACAATTGTGATGCTAAAGATGCAATTAAGAAAATATTTGTGTTTGAGAACATGTTTTTAGATAGATTTTTGTTTTATTAGTTTTATATGAAATTAATATTTTTTACTTATTGAAGAAAAAGAATCAAAACACTTCTCTAGAAATAATCCTTTTATATATTTTATAATCATTTGGTAAAATAAATACTCATATATACTAGCATAGAGAATCTGTGTCAAAATATGGATCTGAGACATTTGGCTGAAAGTACTATATATGAAAATGATATCACGTATATACCTCCTATTTCTGAAAAAAGAAAATTATCAAAATCCTATCTGGCGTTTGTACCTAAAGATGAAAAAAGTTAGTTTGATCTCATACCTCTTTTTCCATAACATGTTCAAGTAATGAATAATAATAACGTAAATATTTTTTGTAAATCTTAGCTTTGAGACCTTACGCAAAAGAAAAATTTTATTAATAAAAATTTTAAAATATTCGTTAGACCCTCTGAGATCATGTATGTACAGTATATGAATATGCTACAATATATAAAGCTCCTATTCTCCTATCCTTATTCACTTATTTTATTCGTATCTGAAGAATGATACCCGTAGACTGAAGGAAGAACTATAATACTATAATATATACTTGGCGAGATGTTTTTCACTTCAGTAAATGCTTATAGTATATAGATCAAAGATAAAGGAAAAAATATTTTTTTTTCTTGCTTCGAGTATATAAGAAAGTAGGAGTTCTATTCATTTGTGATGCAGTTCAATTCAAAGTTGTTTCATAATAAATATTTCCTCTAATAAGAATCGAATTGTGAAAGAAAAAATAGGCAGGGTATTTATAAAAAATATCATATAGATCCACATAATTATTTTTGTGAAAAATTAGCTATTTTAGAAATAAAACTATCAGGAGCATTGGCGTAAATTTTCTGATAACCCATGATCATCGATAAGCGGACTAATCTAGATGAGAAAAAAAGATGTATATGTTAACTATAATCCATATTTGAATATAGTATACTGCTTATTTGTGGGCTGATAAAACTCTAAAAAATCATAATAGTAATATATTCATTTTTGTTTCATTCTAACAACACGATCAGTAAAACGCCTTACTGCGCGTTAAAATGAGAATTTAACCTGATTATACTCCTGCAAAGTTTGTATATTTGTATCTACTTGTAAAAAGATCTTAAAAAAACTTATTTTTAAAGCGAGATTTCGCGTAAATGTAAAAAAAAAAAAAGTAATCGTCTAAAAGGAAAATCAATGATTAGAATTGATTGAGCACATGATGATCTATCAATTTCTTAAATAATATGATCGGTAAGTGTAACATTTTGCGATAGTTATCTTAGAGTAAAGTAACTCAATTATAGTTACACGAAATTTTTTTAATATGAAAATGATCTGCATGTGACATGTCTGACGCTTGATAGAGGGCGTTGACAGTAACCTTGGTGAGGAATCTGCTTTTCTTGAAGAGGAATTAGCTGTGTTTACGGACCAATCGAATAGGTCCTCGGACCAATGAAATTAGTCACAAGGCCTGTCATACCTCTTGCACGATCTTTAATATTTCAATAATTTTGATATATAGGAATCGCATTTAAAGTTTCAGGCCAAAACTTTATATTGCGTCTAATCAGAAGAAATTTTTCTTTTGATTTGGATCAGGCCTTACAAATAGTTTGGAGTTATCTTTACCTTCGCTATATCATACAGGCGTGATGATTTTTTAAAATCTATCATATTCTCTGGCTGCACTACTCTTACGGATCAAGTATCGATCTGGCTTTTCGGCCTTCGTAAGTTGTGATCTTTGGTCTTGTCATATGAGTTGTACAATTGTCCTTCTTATAATTACGGTAATAGCAATTATTGTGTAATTTAATAGATAAAATGTATATGTATATTAAATAATGTTTCCATGATTTTTTTAAATAATTATTATAATGTAAATAAAGTTTCTATTGGATTGATTATTATTTAATAAATAAAAAAAATTTAAAATTGAACGCGAAAAAAAATATATTTGTTCCCTTCACAAAGTTATTTAATAAAGTTCGAAAGATATTTATTTAATCTGAACATCACGGGATTTAATACAAGAAATAAAAGAATTTTATTATTTAGTTTAGCAAGATGAAAAATGATTTACCAACCATAATAAAAATGATTTAATCGCGGCGAAGATATTCTCTTATTAATTTTTGCCGATCTTGGTACCATATTTCGTGACCAAACAACCCTTCAATCATTTCATCCAAACGTTTGTTAATTTCTGCTTCGGCCATATTTGCAATTTCCGGTGGTGGTCGATATCTTCGTTAATTATATCATCATCATCGCTGTTATGTCGGGGTCGACTTCGAAAAAAAAAAGTTGTGGACAAAAAGTTAACATTGGAAACAAGATCAAAGGCAAGCATTAACATTATCCAAACCTGCAACTTCCTTATGATCAAGATCCAGGTCATTTATTTTTTGACATTTTGAAGTTTGTCAATAAAAAATAAAAAATACTTTCGAACAATATCATCAAGGAAAAAAATTTTTTCATTAGGATTTTTAAAAAAAGCTTTCTGTTAGGTTATTTTTATGTCAATTTACTTTTGATAAACGAACTACATATAGGTTTTATTTAGTCCTGTAGCCGGTCGCCGTTTCTTAACTTTCGGGCATTTTTATTTGGCGCAGTACCGACATCATGATAAAATTTTGAAATGGCGTAGATTACGGTACATCAAAAACTTTATTTTCTCGATACTTGACTTAAACGTTATCATCCTTTAAAGAATAAAAGAGAAAATCATTTATTAATAAAAAAAAAAAAAAATCCTCCTTGTCACATTCTTATATCGAAAAATTGTATCTGACTTGATACAATTGCATTTCAAAAAATATTTAGATCTTTGTGAGATATTTAATTTTGATTAAAAGTTAAGCCAGAATCAACCTTTGTATGTTATAAATTTGTTAGCGTTCAGATGTCATTTTTTTTTTTAAAAAAAAAATTCCTTCTTTTAATAAATAACATAGCAAAAAATTTTTTTACGTTTCTTCACAGATTTTACTAAACATCCAGTTATTAATAAAATAATATTGAACTGTTAATACAACGTGATTTAAAAATGCTTCGTTTCCTCTGGTTCATATTTAATTATATTTAATTAATTAATTTAATTATCTATTACTTTTTCACTAATATCCGTATGGTTTATCAATTGTTGACGTTAACTTACATTAACTTTAAAAATAAAAAATACATAAAACCATTATAAAATGAAATCAAAAAGAGACTCGATAAATGCGCAGCACAATGCTGATTATCGTACAACAGGCGTGTGCGACAGAAAATTTATCATTTAAGCCACCCTCGTTCTTGAAATAAATTGGAATTCGTAAATAAAAAAAAAAAAAATTAATCAGTTTAAAAAAGTTAAATGTGTAGTTTTAATCATTGTAATCGATTTGTATTTAATATGAATAAAATCTTTGGACTTTTATAAAATAAAAAATCAAATAAATAATGGATAATTGGTTTGAAGTTCGAACTACCTGTGATGCCAATTTAAATGTCGCCTCTTCAATATCGGCAATAGCATTTGATCCAAATCAAGAATTATTATGGACCGGAAATGATAAGGTAATTTATCTATAAATGATTATCTCGAATGTAAACAACTAATGATCAATGCTAATCTTTGTAAATGAAGGGTCGAATTGCTTCACATTTTGGAAGTGGATTACATCGTTATACAAGTTTTCGAGCACACTTAGCACCAGTTATACAAATTTTAGTTAACGATAGAGGTGTGATTTCATTAAGTTCAGATGCTGTTAAAATGACTAATCGAAGAGGATTGGTCAGATGGACTTTGAGGTGTGTCACCCCTTTCAGAACTTTTTTGTCAAAACGAGAGTAACTAATAAATTTTTTGATTTAACCCCTATCGGTCGGTCAATTAAATAGCAATGAGGATACTACTGATTTACGTTGTATGACTTACACAACCATGCCAGATTCAGAAATCTTGGCGGCAGGGAAGCAACATAATATGTTGGTTATTAATGTCGCAAGGGGTACGGTTGTTAAAAAGGTACATTTTACTTCACCTCGTCAGCTACTATAACGTTTAAGGAAAATATTAATTGATTCGGTTCGCGCAGGTGGAATCAGAGAGTGAAATTGTGGTGATGAGGAAATCAAGGTTGGTTTGCTGTGGTGCAACATCAGGAGAAGTTACATTAAGAGATCCACGAACATTTAAGGTGGAACATCGTGTTCAAGCACACACTGGTACCATCTCAGACATAGATACTATTGGAAATTTATTGTTGACTTGTGGATTTTCGGCAAGGTTTTTCATAATTAATAAATGAATCTGAATGATAATGATTTGATTTGGGGTCGTTTATATTAATTGGATTTCAAAAAATATATTGTTGAAATTAATTAAGGCATGGAAATCTTATAATCGATCCTTTAGTTAAAGTGTATGACATTAGAACTATGCGGCCGCTTGTCCCAATGCCATTTCCTACGGGTCCATGTTTCCTAAAAATGCACCCAAAACTTTCAACAACTGTCTTTATTGTATCCCAGTCGGGTCAATTTCATGTTTGTGACATCGGAAATACTTCAGATATTCACTTTTACCAGGTATTTATTCAGTGTTACTGATTGTTTTAATAATGATAATAAGTAACGTTGCTAGAATTTTATAGGCAAATACGTCTAGTTATATAAATGCCATTGATTTATCAACTTCTGGGGAAATGCTTGCTTTTGGTGATGCTGCAAGTTTTGTACACCTTTGGGAAGATAGGAAAGATGCAAAGATCAATGCATATTCCAATCCTATTGAATTACCTTCGATGCCAGCAACAACTCCACCTATCACTGTTGGTGAAAAAGAGTAAGATCAGTTGTAGTTGTGTGTTTACATATTTAATTAAATATTATGATGATCACAAAAAATTTTTTTTTAATCATATTTAGTTCACTTTCATTAATTGGTATGCCGTATTATAAAGAACCATTGCTCTCTGTATGGCCATCAAATATGATATTTGAGGTTGGAAACCCACCACCAAAAATCGATCCCGAAATTTTGAATAATATAAAGATGATAGATTTTGTTGGATATTCTCCTAATCCCGGAAATAAGAAAAGAAATCAAGTTGTGAGATATTCAAGGAAAAAACATAAAGCTGGCACTCCAAAATTTAGATCCGAGAAGGAAAGAGAATTGCAATCCGGAAAGGGTTCAAAGGTAAATAATCCATCCTTAATCAATTTCTTATATAATTCAGAATTTAGTAAATTTGTTTACCTTATATCACAGGAACCTTCATCATTATTTGATGATGAATCCGAACTGGATGCGACCAGCAATAGAATGCCGAAGTATTATAAGAGAGTAGAAATTAAATATAGTCGTTTTGGTGTAGATGACTTTGATTTTGAGTATGGACAAATGCTTTTTGATTATTCATATTAATCCTTAAATAATTTCTATTTAGTAATTCTATTTTTCAATATATTTAGATTTTACAATAAAACTCATTACGCAGGTCTTGAAACTCATATAACGAATTCTTACTGTAATTCTTTATTACAAGTTCTTTTCTTTACTCCAGTCCTTCGTTCAATAACTAAGTCACATATCGGTTCTGATTGTACAAAAGAAAATTGTTTATGTTGTGAGCTTGGTTTCTTGTTTCGCATGCTGGAAGACGCTAAAGGAAGGAATTGTCAAGCTTCAAATTTTTTGAGGGCTTTCGGCACTATTCCGCAAGGTAACTTTTAGTAATATCAGTAAATCATTCCTTGGGAATAACAATGCTGTGGTTTTGATTAACACTTTTTTCAACATTAGTTTTGGCTCTTGGATTGTTTGAGCCCGATGAGCCCGATGAGAAAACACCTTATTCAATGCTCATTCAGAATTTTAATCGATTCATTCTTGAACAACTTCATCAAGAATGTAATTCAAACAATAATCCACGTTTGTTAAAGTCTCTTCCATTAGAAAAAACGCCCCTTTCGATGATTCAACAATTATTTGGAATGCAAGTCGCGTCAATAAGCAAATGTCAATGTGATACACAAACAGACCGTTTAACAACACCGTTTGTCTTGGATTTACAATTTTCTTCAAAGGTACGTATAGTAATATTGTTTTCGTAATATATATTTTCTTAGCTTTTCCATTAATAATTTATAATTTTTTTTTAAAAAACAAAAAAGAATCATAAAGGGAAAGAAAGGGAATCAAAAACAAAATCTTTTGTTGATATCTTACGGACAAGTATTCGACGTGAAACTCAACAGAAAGCTTGGTGCAACAACTGTCAACAATATGTTCCCACAATTGCTAAAAAAATTCCAAAAAGTTTACCTCCCGTTTTATCAATAAATTGTGGTGTAGGTACATCAGTTCCTGCGGATATTTGGAGAACGCTTGATGGACAAAAATCATGGTTACCAAAAAGGTATTTAAAAAACATCTTATTATTGTCATTAATATAGGATTCTTAAGCATCATCCGTCTTAATTTCATAGAATTTCCATGGATCTAGATGATGATGACAATTTAACCGTAAAGGAATTGGCTTCTAATGCCGTTGTAGATATCAACACTAGCGGCAGCTCAAAGAGTGCTAATTACGAACTGATGGTAGACTTACTATTTAAATATGTAATAATATATTTTTAAACTTAAAGACTAATAATATTTAGTAACCAACTTTATAGGCCATAATTTCCCAAGTCAGAGTTGAAAAAGAAATACCTCATCTAGTTGCTTGTGTTAAAGGTTGGTTTACTATATATAATTCTTATATATCATATTATCTAGATTAATTCTATAATATATTACAGATGAATCAGAGTCTACTAGTAAAAGTCCATGGTATCTTTTTAATGACTTCTTAGTAAAGAATGTTACTGAACAAGAAGTTTTCAATTTCCAAGGAATTTGGAAAGTGAGTTAGAAGCTTCAAACGGAAATATTAACATGCCAGTGGCCTACTAATATTAATTATAATATATTATATTTCAGACGCCGGTTGTATTATATTATTCAAGGGTTGACATATCAGATTTGATGGATACTAGTGCTTTACCTTCAAAGATCGATAAATCTATCTTATTCAAAGATATTTCCATATCAAAGTATGTATAAAAGCAAATCTTTATATTATTATGTATATATTTAATAAGAATAAATATGGTAACTTAATAATTTTATAGACATCGTTTAACGAATAAGAAATCAAGCGTCTTGTTAACACCTGAAGAATTGCCACAACCAGGAACGTTGGTAGCAATTGATGCTGAATTTGTGGCTTTGAATCAGGTGATTATCATTTTTATTATTAATATTGAGAATTTTTTAATACTTAAACCTTTAATATGCTTTAGGAAGAGACAGAAATTATTAGTGATGGAACAAAATCAGTTATTCGTCCAAAACGCCTTAGTTTAGCACGTGTTAGTGTATTGCGTGGTGAAGGAGTGAAAGAAAACGTTCCATTTATTGATGATTATATCGCTGCATCAGAACCGGTTGTTGATTACTTAACAGAATTTTCTGGAATTGCAGGTTTACATTAAAAAATTTTTTTTTTTTTTTTTTGTCTCTCTTCAGAAATTGGGAAATATTATATGAATTCATGGTATTAAAAGTATAAATAATTATTAGCCGGTGATTTAGATGAAGCTTCATCTAAGCATACATTAGTCCCTTTAAAGGTATGTGAAACTTTAATTATTTATTATCTGAGGAATCATTGACAAAAATTTATTATATTTGTAGGTTGCTTATAAAAAATTACGGTTGCTTCTTGACCTTGGTTGCATTTTTGTTGGTCATGGATTGAAAAAGGATTTCCGTATTATAAGTAAGTTATATATAATATGTACCATCTTAATTTTTTTTTCTTGAGTGTTTCTAATTACCATTTACAATTTCAGATATATTAGTACCACCTGGACAAGTCATTGACACTGTAGATATTTTTCACATTAAGAATAGACAAAGGTAAAGAATTATCAATGAATATTATGCGACAACATGAAAGAAAAGATCTGGTTTTAAATCTTTTCTTCGCGTTGTAGGAAAATATCATTAAGATTTTTAGCTTGGTACCTTCTTAATCAAGATATTCAAACAGACACACATGACAGTATTGAAGATGCGCGTACAGTAAGTTCAAAGTGATCCCTTTTTTGTTATTTCACAACTTATTTATACTTAGTTGATATGTAGGCTTTGGCAATATATAAGAAATATCTTCAATTTAAATCCGAAGGTATATTTGAAGAAGTATTGGAGGATATATATAGTGAAGGGCGTAAATATAATTGGAAACCAACGCCTGGGGTGTTTCCAACATCACGTATTGGAAATTCTTTTTCAAACTTATCAGAAACAAATATAAGAGAAATCCCTCCTCCAATTTCGGAAATCCCTCCTTCAATTCCAGAAATCCCTCTTTTGATTTCGGAAGGAACAGAAATTCCTCCTCTAACTTCAGAAGGAGCAGAAAGCCTTACTTCTCTAACTCCAGAAGAAACAGAAATCAGTCCTTCTTTAGCTTCTGAAGAAAGAGAAATCAATCCTTCTTTAGCTCCTGAAGAAACAAAAAACAATCCTTTTTCAGCTTCTGAAGAAACAGAAATTCCTCCTCCTTTAATTTAGGAAGATGGAAATTTCACTTTAACTTTAGAGGTGATATTTAATTTAATTTAATTTAATTTTTTTTTTTTTTTTTTTGAGACGAATAAAATAAATATATTAAATGCATTAGTGATAATTAATTTAAATAATTTATTAAAGTTTTCTAATAGTAATTAAAGAATTTTTATATTCATTAGCATTTATTGATAATATTTACATTAACTTAAAAATTATCTTAACCGAGTAGTCGGTTAAACTTTCTTTTTAAATAAGAAATATACATGTATTTCGAATTTAAAATTATGTTATATTAGTATAAAAAAAAAAAATAATAAGTTTATTTTATAATAATATAAAGCAACTATTTTAAAAGAAGTTGTGATTAATTAAATTTAAATCATTTTATGCAAAAATAATTTAGAAATATATATTGATATTATTTTTAAATCAATATTAAAAACATATATTATATAATTGCATAAAAATTTATTTATATTATTAAAAATTAAAATTATATTTAAATTTAATATAAATGCTTTGTAATAAAAGAAAAAAAAAACACTAAGAAAAATTTTTAAATTAATGTTTAATCTGAATTACTAAAAAAAATCATATTAATATAGAAAGTAAATTTATATTTGTAAATTTTTTTCTTTCTTTTGTAAAGTATCCATATATATTAAATATAATCACATCTTAAATTTTATCATAAGAATTAAAAAAAAAATAAAAAAAATAGAGGATATGATAGTTTAATTATATAATTCAATTAATAATTTAAATAAAATAATAATACTTTATAATAAATAAAATAAATTATATATTAATACTAATTATTTAAATAATTATAATAATAATAATCTGTATTATTTAAATTTTTAGTTAATTAATAATTTAAAACAGAAAACAAAAGAAAGAAATATTATATATATATATGTCAATTAATATTCATTTATTTTAAAAAAATGTATAATTTTAAAAATCATAATAATTATATTATATAAAATTCAATAAAAAAAATATTTTTAAAAAAAAAAATTTTAAAAATTTTTTTAATTAATATTTAATTATATTTTTTAATTTATCAATAAAATTTTATTTAAGTTAAAAATTAAATATTTTAATTAGAATATAATTTATAAATTAAACTTATATTTATATTTTATATAGAATTTATAATAAAAAAAAAATGTTTTTATAAAAATAATAAATTTAATATTTATAAATTAAAATATTTAATTTATATATACTATAGATAAGTGACAAAACCTCTTAATAATAGTTGAAATTTAGATAAAATTATATTAAAATCATAATAAAGAATATGATAAAATTTTTCAATATAGTGAAAGCTAAAACTGTTAAAATTATATTAAAAATATAAAAAAGGGTATGATAAAATTATTTTGAGAAGATTTTGACAAGTATCTATAATATATACTAAATTAATATATTAAATTAGAAGTTATCAAAATTAAATATAATTATAAAAAATATAAAATAAGTATTGGAAAAAGAGATAAAATCAAAATTTTTTCAAAAAATTATTTTTAAGTGAAATTAATCTGATTATATTATCAGATTTGGAATTCTCATTATTTAAAAAAATAATTTTTTAATGATTTGGTCTTTTTTTCTAATACTTATATTAAAAAAATAAAATAAAAATATAATTTTTTTAAATATATTATAAGTTTAATGCAAATAATTTATTAAATATCACAATATTATATTAAATAATTTAAATAATTAGTTTATTATTATATTATTTAAATTAAATAGTTTATTTTAGTTTTTACTACTACTTTATATTTAATTTATAAAAATAGTTTAATTACATATAAAAATTATATCAATAGATAAAAACTATTATTTTATTAATTAAATAATATAATTAAAAAAATTATATATTATTATAATTGATAAAAGTATAAATATTTATATAAAATTATATTTTACAATTTATATTAGTTATTTTAAAAATAGTATTATTAAATAAGATTTATGTTTATTTATTTTTTTTTAAGTTTTTTTAGTATAAGAACATTAGAAATCTATATAGCAATTATATATTTTAGGATTACAAAGTAGATCTAATGCTAAACTAAGACTTTTAAAGTCATAACTAAAGATGGTCACCGCAATTAAAAATAATGGCGTAATTGAGTTACAATTTGTGACGCAATTAAATTTCCTTATGGCATAATTAAGTTGCAACTCAATTGAAATTTGAAAATAATTATGGGGACCATCTTTAGTCATAACTAGATTTAAATTCTAACTAAAATTTACCTGTTAATACTAGTTTAAGATTTTGTCATCTAGAATAACAACCTCTCAACTATAGAATTAGAAAACTTAAAACCTTAAAATTACTATCAAATTTGAAAGAGTGATCACTTTTAACTACAAGTACTTATATTACTTTTTTTCTATACTTACCAACATTAATTAGAATCACTATTATCTCTACCTAGTATTAGAATATATTACAAATTACTAGAAAGGCTTGAATATTATCATCCTTTTAGAATCTCAGAAAGATAGGTAGATATTATACTTATATTATTAAACTTATCTAGAAATTGGATCTAACCTCTGTTTCAAATAAAAGTTCAATTAGATAGTTCTGCAACAATATAATGCAATTTTTATTATTATCATAGTTTTTTTAGAGTACTTAATTATTAATTACTGGTTAATCACTTTTTTATTTATGTAAAAATTCTTAAATTTGAAAATGTGAGATAATATCTATTATAGATTTATTAGCAAAAGCTAAGTTTTATCAATCCCTAACTTTATTTATATCTAAATGTTCTTCAAATCTAATATTTAAGCATAATCAAATGCTGATTAACAGTTCAATAAGATTTATATTTATCTTTTTTATTATAGTGTAGTAGTTTTACATAGTGTATAAAATTTAGACCAAAAGTTATATGCACAAGTTATACTAAAAATAGAAAATTGATGTATGTATTATATAGTATTTCCATTTTATAAATAATTTATATATTTTTAGTAATTATTTGTGCATATTTTATACTGTGTAATATATGCACATAAAAATTTAATGTGTACATATGCACATTATGCATATGAATTTTACATACTAGTTTCACATTATTTTTATTATAATAAAATAAATTTATAAAGAAATAAAAATACAAATTAAAAAGAAAAAATAAAAATTTCATAAAGAAAAAAAAAATTAATCTTAATTTAAAAAGATTAATCTTGTATTCTTTTAAATCAAATCTAACTTAAATTAAAAATATTACTATTGAAAAATAAAAAAAGAAGAAGAAGAGGGTTTAGTCACTATCATATCAAAAATTTATTCAATAGGATCCAAGTTGTATTATATTAAAAATCAGATCAAAATTAAGACTAGTAGATGTATAATCAAAAAATCAATAATTAGAGAAAATAAAATTTTCATTTTTGTGCTTAATGTTAATATTTGCAGCTTTTTTAATGTTTGATATAAAAATACATCATTCAGTCTAAAAGTGTAAGTTTCTTTAAAGATAAAATATATAAAGAAGAAGCAAGCGGCTAAGCTAATAATATATTTAAAAAGTTATATAGGTAAAATACTTTTAATAAGAATAAAATACAATGCTGAGTTTTAAGAGAATTCAACAATTTAGCCTTTCAATTTCAAAATCAGATGCATTGGTAATATATTTTAAAAAATTTTTTAATATTAGATGATTAATTTCATTTTATAATAGATCATAAGATAATACTAGATATGGTAAAATTTTTTATTAATTACATTATATTGAGAATATAAAACTGTAGAGGAAAATAATAATGGTAGACAACATCTCTAATAGCCACTGATATTTCTTTTTTCTTATTGAGAAAGTAATGTATAATATATAATTAAAGATGATATTATTATTGAAACTAAAGGAAGTAGCATATTGGTAAAGGTTGTATATTAGTTAGTGTTTAAAGATAATATATAAATTGAGAAATTTGTAAAGGTATTTGTGTCAAAAAATATTCTTTACAAATTAGCATGTAGGAATAAAAATCAGAGATCTATTATAAGTGTAAAAACTACTAAAAATATTATTTATATTAAAATGAAGAACAGGAAAATTTAAATAAATTTTTATAAAAGCACTGTTAAAGAAGTAGTTTAAATGCATTTTAACTTATAAAATTATTAATTTCTATTTATAATTTTATAATAAATTAAAGATAATTTACAATATATATTTTATTAATTTTTAAAAATATATATTATAAAATTATTATTTTTATATAAGATAATATAACTTTAATATAAAAATCATTTCTAAAATTACTATATAAATAATTTATATAAATTTATATATAATTATACATATTTTATATATAAATTATTTTTAATTTATAAATTTAAAAATAAGTAGAAAATTATTTTTATATTATCAGTCAAAAAAGATATCACAAAAAATCAAAGACAAAAATTTTTTATTATGATTAACATAATAAAATTTTTGGTATAACATCTTCTTCAAACATATAATACAAATGCAAATTCAAAATTAATTAAAATTAATTTAATCAGTTAAAAATTGATAATCTTTATATTATAATTCTGGTCAAATTTTTCTTATTCTGGCCAATATTATAATTTCGACTTAAAATTGGTAAAAATTGATCAAAGGTAATATTACATTTATGCAATGTAACATTTCAATCTAAATGTTAAAAATGAATCTTATTGATCTCTTTTGCAATTTTTATTAAATATTTTTTCACATAGTCTTTATTATTTGAAAAGGATCTTAAGTTGAAGTTGGTGTATTTTTTTCATTTATTTTTAACTATGACAGAAACATATCCAAATATTAGTGAAGAAAATAGTGATATTGATGATTTTTTTGATAATATACCTGAAAATGAAGAAGACTTAACTGGTTTATTTATTAAAGTTGCTATAAATAAAGCAAAAAAGTTGCTTGAATCTAATTTAGATAGTATGGATGATGATTCTGAAAATACTAATTGGAAAATTGATTCTACATTAACTATAGTAAGTGAAGGTATAGAAGTAGAAGACACAATAGAAATACCACAAATCAGTAGCTCAAATTTAACTCTGTATGCATTAATAGATGTAATAGGTAGATCAATTCAAAGATGTGGTAAAACTAAAAATTTACGAGAACTTATACAATTAATCAGTATATGGCAAATTAACAGTAATGCAATTTGTGAGACTAGAAAAGAGTTAGAAAATCTTGGAGTATATCAAACACACTTCATGTTTAATCAAAATCGTCTTCATAAAAAAATACTAAAAAAGAACAAAATATTGAACATGATTTTTTACATCGAAGGCGCTGCTTATTTTGTGAACTTAATATCAATTTTTTTAGTTGTAGGAAGTTTTGTCATGAATATTCAGTTTCTTTTGAAAATAAAAATCTGCTTATATCATATATTGAACACAAATCATATCATGCATTACAAATTAATGAACTAATTATTACTGTAGCAAAACTCTAGCAAAAATCACAATATACATGTTATAGTTGTTTTGAAAAAAATGGTAAGCATTTATATGTAAAGTCAGGAAAAGGAAAATCAACATTGCAATGTAAAATGCAAGAAAATCATAATGAAGATATTAAAAAAGATTTACAATTAATAAGTAAATGGATGATTAATCTTGCCAACTCTGATAATGTTTTATTAAAAACAAAAGTATTATCCTGTTTTATAATATTAATTGAACAATTATTCAATTTTACCTCTTCATTATTTACAAATAAAAATGATACTTATTTATTAATATTAAGTGAACCTCCTAGTTTTTTTATTATTAATTCTCTTTTAAATTAAATTGTGTAAATTTAAAAGATTTCTATTATGATTCACAAGAAGATTTTTAAAAAATTAGATCACAAATAGAATTTGAACTTTTAAAAAATCAAAAACAGATCTTACAAAAAAAACAAGCATTAGAAGAACTGAACTCCTTAAAAGAATATTGTTTAGCATTATCATTAAAACTCTATGGATTATTAGATAGTATCATTCGAATCTTATTTAATAAAAAGAGACAAAATACAAATTGGAAAAAAAATCTAGATTTAGTAATAACAATTGTAACCAAATTAATGATGATAATAAGATTCAAAAAAATAGTAATTTTTATTTGTTCAATAATTATTTCTGTTGGATTTAAGAGTATAAAGATATGGCTTACTAAAATGATCTTTAGTTTATACTAAAAATCCCGTTTGCTTTCAAATCTTCATGATTTTTTAGTATTAGTCAATGTAGCAGAAATTACCAGAAAATATAAAAAAGTTCTTAAAATTAAACGTATAGAATTAGCTGATCCTAAATTGCATATTTGAAAAAATCTAATATTTGAAATATATGCGTTATAGATAATATAGACTTCAAAGAGAAAGCTTTTATCTATAAAACATTTATAATACAACCCGCAATAGTTCTCATGTAATGTTATGTCTATTATTTTAATATCAATTACTCATTGAACTAAGCTCAATTTCTAATGATAAAATTCGATTAAATGAAGATGTAAAGCTTTTGGTAAAAATTTAATTATAAAAGAAATTTCTTTAATCTTTAATTCAATTTTTATACAATTACTCAACTATCAAATTAAAAATAATCTTTCAATTCAATATTCTTCTGAATACAATGCTGAAATTATTAATGATAGAATAATTAATCATTTTAACTGTGAATCATCTTGTCTTCCAGTTCATGTAATAATCTTAGAAGCAGGTGACAATTCAAATAAAGATGCGAATATTAATGCTGTATATGATCAGTATTTTGATAACCTGCAAATAAATAATAATTTGGGAATTAAAGTAGTTTGTGATGAAGCTATTTTCTGAAGAGTACTTAAGTATTATCAAAATAATTCTAAGATACGGTCACTTTTAAAACAGGGACATACAAGTAAGAATATGTGTAGTATACTACTTATGATATTTTCAGAATATAGTATTTATAATATAACGACAAAACTTGGTATAGCATTTTTAGATAAACTTAAAAAGGTAATTGATTATCAATCAATATATCATATCCTAGATCTAATTTGGGTTGCTGTCAGAAATGCTATTCATGTTTACATATCAAAAAATAATTTAGAATTAAAAGCTATTATAAATTTAAAAAATAATTTATTAAAAATGTGGTTTTATTTTTACCATTAGGCAGGATTTTGGAAAAAGCATTGAGCTAGTATTAGAACAGGAAATGCTGAATTGCAAATTCAGTATTTATCTGTATTTGTACTCCTATTTCCTATTGCTGGTAAATTGAATTATATACGATCAATGATGCATTTTCTTGCAATTTTTGCTAAGTATTTCTAAATTCAAATCCTATTAAAATATGTTAGTTCAGTAAATTTAACACGAGATGATCATTATTTTGCTTTTGACGAAGCTTTGGAGATGTTTGGAGTCAAGTTTATTAAACAGAATGTTACCAGAAATGTTATAAATGAAGAAAATTTGAAACGGCAAATTAAATCTGTACAATTAGAAAAGGAATGAATGAACCTTTTACTTAATGAATTTTTGGTGATATAGTATTATCAACAGATACACAGGCAGTTAATAGACGTTATGAAACACTATGGGAGCTAACAAACCAGTTAATTGAGACATTTGAAATGGTAGACACAATGCAATACCCACTTTTTCAAAATTGCGACCAATTAACTTCAGAAGGATTTGAAAAATTGTTTTGCTATTATGAAAATAGTATAATGTATTTAGATAAGATCTTTTGACAAGAAATCTTACATCTGGAACTAATTGATATTAAAGGTAAGTGTGCAAAAGTTATTGTTACTATAAAAGTTACAGATTTAAAATCAAAGGTCCCAAAAAATACTTACCTATTAAATAAAACACATATTGGAAATTCCAGTACTTTTCCTCCTATACCTTTATAATTAATTAAATAAGAACCTGTTTCCAAAAAAAATTAAATGATACCATCCATCAAAAGAAGAGAGAAAAATCTTAGAAAATTTATTTACGTATGATACAATGTCACCTGATATAATTATTGATTCAATATTAACAAAACTATTAACTTATTGAGTTAGTTGAATGAAAAAAAGATTAAGGATGTATGGAATTATGAAAAGAGAAAAAAAAAGCAGAAATAGGAAGAAAGTAAGATTTAAAGAAAACCAATATCTTTGAAAAATAAATTTTTTTTAATAAAGGAAAAGTTAATTTTACAATTTTAATAATAAATAAATAGCGATAACTTTGAACCCAAATGATATAAATAGCGAAAATTGAGGTTTTTTTTGTGTTTACACAAAAACTGTTTGAAAAATTATCTTTTTGACCTTAGAAAATATTTTACTTCATATTGAATTATACCTATTTCTACTCTTAATATAGTCTATTTATTTCTATATTTAAAAAGAACTTGAAAGAAGCTTATTTTTAAAGCGTATTTTGTACGTAAAGTATTATAAAAAATGATACACTAAATAAGAAATAATAATAGAAATTAATAAAACACATGATGATCTATTAAATTTCTAATTTATAGGTATGGGTATGTTGAAATTTTAATAATTTATTTATAGGCTGAAGTTTTCAATTATAGTTACACAAAAATCTTATTAATATGAAAATGATTTATGTATGATATCTTCCCTGACTGTTATGATATTAAAAGTTTTAACTTAATAATATTTTAAAATTTTTGTGAATTTTATATCATATGATTAATAATTAACTATTGAAAAATGAGATATTAATCATTTTTTTTATATATCGTTTTAAAATTATAATAATTTAGACTGATATTATAATTAATTATTATAATATCAGCTTAAATTATCATAAATTTTAATCAATAATATATAGGGATTGCTACAGCAAAAGAAGATAATACATTAATCAATCATATTTTGAGATTTTTTGGTAATTACATGATTATAGACCTAATCTTTCAAAAAATATATTTTTTTATTTATACTTTATTAATAAAAAAAATTACAAATTTTAACATATAATTTTAATTTTTTTTTTCTTTTTTATTGTAAAAAACTTTTACAATTATCTAAATAATATGAAATATAATATATATTTAATAGTAATAGTAAAAATAATATTATATTATCTATCTTAAAAGAACTTAAAAATACTTTTTTTGTTAAAAAAAATACAATAAATGATAATAGATAATGATATAACATATCTGATGAAAAAATTACAAAGTGAATTAGAAAAAAATTAAATTAGTCAGTTAAAATTTTTACAAATTCTATAATAAAATAAGTCTACTTTTTGCTTATTCTTTTATTACTGATATTATTATTAAATATTATTATCATTTTTATTATTAGAATTTTAAAAAAAATACATATTTTTAGAATGAAATAATTGTTTGTTTTTTATTAAATATTTTATAAATTTTATTAAGATTATATAACTTATAAAATACATAAATTTTAAAAATAAATATATACAAAAAAAAACCAATATTCTCAACTTATTATTTGTAAAAAAAAAATTCAAAGTTATAAAGTCTGTATTTAAAAAATAATTTTTTTGGCAATAATCAATAAAAATTAATAATAAATAATAAATTGTAATTTTTTTAAAATTTCATTATCAGTGTATCACTCTTCTTTTATTGTAACAGTCCTCATATATTTTAAATTTAGGATAATAATATAAAAATTATCCAATTTTAAATGTCTATAAGTTTTTATATAAAACTTATTTTGAAAAATTAATCAGTAATTTAATAAATACTTATCTTAAAAAATAAAGTTACTAGTTTATTTTTTATAAATTTATTTTTTAAATATCGAAAGATTTTTAAATATTATAAGAATATAGACTTCTTGTATCATAATAAATAAATTTATATATTTTAATAATTTTAGTAAATAAGTTTTAAATTTTATTTAAATATCAAGAAATTCATATAAACTTACTTCAAAATTTCAAAATTTTTTTTAATATTTAATAGCTTATTTAAGATAAAGTAATAAATAATTTTTATTTTACAATAAAACTTTTATTAAAATATTATTTAAAACTAAAATTAATCTAAAAATAAATATTTAATTTTCTCTTATTGATTTATATTTAAAATTTTGTAAATAGCAAATATTAATTTTTTATTTATATTTTTTTTTAAGAAATACTTATAATCTTATAAAATTAAGTAAAATTTTTAAAAAAAATTTTTTAATAATATAAATAATTATAAGAAAAATTTAACTAAAATTATTAAAATATTAATAATAATAATAAATAATGATTTTTAATCAATTTTTATTAATTTAAAATGTAGTAAAGGATTATATGAATGTTTTATAATAAAAAAAGAAGAAATTATTAAATAAATTTATTTTTTATTTTATAAGTTAAATATTATTTTTTTAGTAAAATAAATTTAGATTTAACATTAATTTAAAAAAATTTTTTTTTTTGATATTTCCTTTCTTTCTATTGTAAAAATATTTATATATATTTTAACTAACTTAATATCTAATATTTATTTACTTAAAATTTAAGTTGATATATAATTGATCTCTTTCATTATACTTATACTTTAAATTTAATAATATTTTTAAAATTGTTTTTTAATTATACTTCTTTTGAATAAAATATAAAAATTAAATTATATAAATTTATTTGAATACTAAATAAAAACAGATTTAATAGCGAATATAATAAATTTTATATTTGTAATTAATTTGATTCAAAAATAATTTTTAAATAATTTTTTTATTAATATTATGAAAATATTTAATTTATTAATAAATTTTAGATAATAAAAATATATTAAAATTAAAAAAAAATTAAACTTATTACTTAATTTTATAAAAAATCATAAATTTTTATTTTTTATTAATAATAATTAATTCTGATAATATATATATAATTTTAAAGTATTATATATAATAATTATTAAAATATATCAAATAATAAATTATTTATTTTATTATTTTAATATTATTTAATCATTTTTCAAATATTATAAATATTAGTAAATTTTTATATTTTATTTTTTTTTAATGTAAATACGAATGTGATTTATTTAAATAAAATTTAATTTAATTAAATTATATAATTCTTTAAATAATAATACATTAGATATATTAATAATAATTGAATTAAAAAAATATATATATATAAAAGAATTTTATTTAGTAATATATTTTACTATTTGATTAAAAAAAGAAATTTATATTAGTTTAATCAAATTTATTAATATAATTATATTTTGACGTGAATTGATGAATTACTAATTAAATTGTATTTTGATAAACATAATTATTTTATTAATAATAAATATCAAATTAATATAATTAATTTAATATTATTAAATTAATTTATGTTAAAGTATAAATATAACAATAATTTTTTTAAAAAAAATAAAATTTTTTGAATTTATAGTAAAATTAAATTTTTTTATTATTTTATAACAAAATTTAAAATAAATTTTTTAAAAAGAAAATTTTATCATTTTTATAATAAATAAATTATAAAAATTAAATTTTTTATATAAACTAATTACTATATTGAAAAATAAATTTTAAAAAATATATCATTTTTGCAATAATACAATTTTAAAAATAAATTTTTTTTTGAAAAAAATTCAATATTTTTATAATTCTTTTAAAAAAAATTTATAATAATAATTTAATGTTATAGTATCAAAAATAACATTTTTATCAAAATAATAATTTGATTAATAAATTATAACAATATTTTAAAATATATTTATATTTAATATTTTACCTTTTATAAATAAAATCTTACCTAATATGTCTAACATATTATTTACTTTTATATAATTTATTATTCTTTGTCATATTCTTTGTTTTTCTATTTTTACTATGGTGCAAACAGCTTAGTCACATCAAATGGCTAAGCTATCGCTAAAAATTTTGCCGATAATTTTCATATTAAATTAGCGATTTTATTGGTCAAAATTATAGTCACGTGATTAAACTATAGTCACGTGAACAAACTATAGTCACGTGTTTATAGTTAAACGCATCATTTTACCATCATTTGCGATAATTTTATTTCTTTTCTTATATCTCAATTAATAAAATTAGAATGCTGAAATCAAATAAACGAACCAGACAATCTCGAAAAACCATTAATAAGCATTGGAAGCAAGCAAAAGGTTCTGAAGAAGTAGTATTTGAGCCATCAGATGCCGAACTAGATGAGTTTGATAAATCATAGTTTGGCACTTTTTAGGTAGAAGGTGAGGAAATACGTTTTGATAGCGATGAAATTATAGATGGAATATAAGCATGGAAATAAAACATATTAGAACATTTGATAAAAAATGCAAAATCGCATATGTGGGCTGTAAATTCACGCAGACCAGTGTATAATGATGCTGTAAAGTTAACATTATATAACAAGAGGGTATATTGGTGAAAAGTGGCTTTAGATTCTAAGAAAATTACTGAAATGCTTCAAACAAATAAAGCTGCTGAGCCTAACAATACAGATACCGCATTTGATGATCCCATATTTGATGATCTAGCATTTGATAATCCATATAACAATAGTAATGATGATGATAACGAATTCACATTAGAGTCTTTGGATTTATTATTAAAAAAGAAGAATGACAATTTGCGGCTTTGAATGGTAAGTCAATTTCTCCATTTAGTTTAAGACCAAAAATATAGCAAGATAGATGCAAGTAATCTCCTTGCCCAGAGCTTGAACAAAGGTCTATGACAAGCGCAGCTTATTTACTCCTGAACGAATCAATGATTTAATAATAGTATGATTATTACGTCTAAACGTGAACGTCATGCAAAAATCAGATCTCTTCTTTTGCATGAAAACGTTAAATTGCAAGTTACTGAATATTTACGTGCGTATAAATTTAAGTTGAATGTTGCTGATTTCGTAAAATTCATTAAGGATGAGGTTATCC